GATTTTAATTGGTCAATCAACAAATTGCATGGGTTAAAATTTTGTATTCCCTCCTGTTAATTTTTGTGTTCCCAGAATGGTCTCTCCTGTTATATAGATCAGATATTTGACTAATTTCTATAGTATTTTTGCCCTACAGTAATGTAGAACGTCCAACTTGTAAACTTCAAAAACTTAGTGTGCATCCAAATCTGTTCAGGAAATATTAACAATGCACAGTTAAAACTGGACTAGAAAGATTTCTTAAAGATAAAGATCTTGAACCTGCAAATGCTGTCAAAAGAATGACGAATTGTTTTTAAAGGCCTAACCAAAACAGCACTTTATCGCGTGGACTTTGGTGAACAATTTCCTTTCAACACAAATGACGTTGTTTTCAAGTATATGCGGAAATGTTTCCAAATTACAACCAAAGAACTCGTCATAAATAACGTTCGAGATACCTTCTACACACAATATCGACCTTGAGGATAAATTCTCTCCACTGTTGCATGGCAATATGTTATAAATTGTCAGAACTACATAACAACAAATCTCAATAACCAACTTAAAGATGAATAAAAATAAAATATAAATTATTTAAGATTCATAGTTTCCCTTACATTGACTCTATCGTAAGTCATTTCATTACCAATTTGAAAAATCGAGATCTCCCTTCCCTCCCTTCAAATATTATCGATAAACTCTCTATATCACATTCGCAGTACCTCATTTACCTTACTACCCACACTCAATATATTCACTCAGAGCGCAACAGACATTGTTTCAAATCAAGCTCTTGATGATGCATCTGTAAAAGCATCTTGGTGATCATATCTTCCAGGTCTCCATAAAATCTTTTCCACCTTTACCAAGCATAACCGAGAACGTGGCCTTTGTCTCTTCACACTTCTGCCCAAATACCCTTTCTAACAAAAGTACATACTAGTCGACACTGATGCTTTATATTTTATGTACAAATCAATTGAAAAAGAAAGAGTAACTAATATTCAAAGATTCAGAGTTGAGAAACTTGGTGGATGGAAGCATTTAATATTAATAAAGTCACTACCCAAAATCGAATCTTTCTCAAACTGATGTCTTATCAGTTGGTATGCAGAAGAAAGTTGATAATGATAGAGAAGAAGGATCGAATATTGATTTGAATGTGTGCAAAGTATTTGTGCTGGATCCTAGTTCAGATGAAAAAGTTGTGAGTTGTTCCAACAAGGAGTGGCAGTTTTTATTCATGCTCGCAAAAAACGTGAGTTGCGGTTAGAAAAAAACAAATATCTTCAGGCTGCTATTCGAGATGAGTTAATTTAATTTGCAAGAATTACATTGAATAGATTATATACCTTTCATTTAATGCTAATACAAAATCTAGAAATTCCAACCCCTGCTGTCACTAACGTCTGTGAATATGGCTTTTACTTCGCCTACATTCTGTTTTACCTCGATACAATCCTTGATTTTTATGGTGAGCGTCGCTGGTATCGTTTGTGATGGAAATATTTTATTAATAAACAGAAGGCCTTGATATTTTGTGCAAGTGGTAATAATAATACAGTTGTTGCATTTGGCGGTAAAAATTCTATCAGCATCACATGGGCCCTGTAAAACAATTCCGCCGAGACACTGCAAGGTGACGAGTTCCGTGCGTCCTCAGTCTGTTCTTTGCGTGATAGATGGTTTTATAAGCATCAAAAATTCTGGTCTATCAGTCTGCAAATCAGTCCGTCTGGCACATTGGAATCGAGATGTTAATACTGCCAGTAACATAAGGAACATTTTTTGCACATGAACACTTATGGAGAGAGACCTGACCCATTTATAAAAGGGATTGACCTCTCTGCTGCAATTTTAATTGTGGCAGGATATATGTCTAGCTGGTGGCAGCAACAAGGTTTAATGTTAGTCGACTCACGCATCTATAATTAGAATACACATGTTGTACCAATTTAAATTTCTGTTGCAATTAGAAATAATCCCGAGAAGATAGTAACACGGTAATTTGGGACTATATGTATCTTTTTTATTAAGTTACACGCATTTTTAACACTACATATAAATAAAGGGTATTCTTTCTATTTTATATATATTTTGATATAAAAGCAATATATTATTTATATTCAATACAAAATAAATATATTACATTATTATTATTAATATTTTAATATATTTATATTTAATATATTTATATTTTACAGAATAACACAACAAAAACAATTTCCACGGTTATTAACAGAATCAAAATGCTCATTTTTACCACCATTTACGCTTCGTTGATTATTTGATGATTTCTTATCAATGTCTTGTAATAATTGCAATTCTTTGTTGTATCTTCGAATTTCACGAACAAGATTATAGAACACTTCATCAACATTAGTACGTAGTTTAGCTGAGGTTTCAATGAATCTACAGTTGGATTGTTTAGCAAATTCTTGTCCCTCTAATATAAATAAATATAAATTATGAATCATTATATATAAAAATCCTCGTCACTATAATTATAATAAATTGCAGCATAGCAAAGCAAACCTTGTTCTGAAACTTGTCTTTCTTTTTCTAAGTCACTTTTGTTGGCTACCACAATTATTGGGAAATAGTTTTTATCCTTAACTCTAAGAATCTGTTCATGAAAAGTCGCAATTTCTTCAAATGAGTTGCGTGATGTGATGGAGTAGACTAAAAGAAATCCTTCGCCACTACGCATATATTGTTCACGCATAGCTCTAAATCAATAATAAATTAATTGATATGGCAAAAAGGAATTTTAATTTATTTATTTATTTATTTATTTATTTATTTATTTATAATAATACCTATATTCCTCTTGTCCAGCAGTATCCAACACATCTAACAAAGCAACTTCATCATCAATAACACATTGTTTACGATAAGAATCTGATTATTTTAAAAGAAATATAATTATAATTATTATCAATATTTTTTCTTTTTCGGTTTAATTTATTAAAAATCATCTTACCTTCAATAGTAGGATCATATTCATCAACAAATTGTGATTGGATAAATTGAATCGTTAATGCAGATTTTCCAACACCTAACGATAAAAAAGACGAAAAATATGAAAAATATGAAAAATATGAAAAATATGAAAAATATGAATCACCCACATACAACTTACCACCACCACCAACAATTACAATTTTATATTCTCTTAAAAATTGAGCATTCGACATTTTTATGAATATCTATTTATTATTATATTGTATATCTATTTATTATTATATTGTATATGTATATTATATATATGAAGAAATATATATATCAATATAGCTTTTTAAAGAATATAACGGTGAAAGAATATTAAATTAAATTAATTCTATTGTTTAGTATAATAAAATTATTACAATGAAAAATAAAAAAAATGAGGGATAAAATGGAAATAGGAAAAAAGAGAGAATTGAAGGAATAAAAGAAGTTAAAGAAGTAAGAAGGAAGGACAAAAATAAATTTAATTGAGAAAAAGAAAAAACATTATTATATAATAATTAATAATTCAATAATAAAGTTTTGGTGAGCAAAAAACCGTTGTACGGACTATATCGATATGTAGTAGTTTTTATATTTGCATTGGTCACTTTGAAAAGGAAAGATGTTCATAAATATTCACAATAAATATTTATATTTTTTTTTGCTAATTTTAGAAATGTCTTATTGATCGATTGATTAATTGTTTGTTTTTGATTGATTATTCAATCTCGCACAAAAAAACAATCAATAAAAAAATTAATTACAAAATTAAATTTTTTTTTAAAAAAAGAAAATTTTCCTCACTTATCACTTATCATCGCAGCCAACTTGTTCAAATGGAAAAAATATATGAGATTAGTTCATCCAAACTTTGCCCAAGTCAATAGGACGACTTTTTAAAAAAACTGGCTCTTGGTCATGAGTTACAGTTCGTTCAGTTAAACCAACATTAATGGTTTAAATAATATTTCCCTTTTACATGTAAAATTTTTAAAGAAGATGTAATTTCAACTGAGTATATATGTGTATGCGCAAGTGAGCTATGTAAAGTAACACAAAATAAAGTAATGAATGATCTTGGTAAACACTTTTTCTCTATTTAAAGAATTGTTTTATGCTTTCTACTTATCAGCATTAGTACTATCAATAATTTCAGAATAATTATTTTTGTTGTTATTATTATTATTATTATTATTATTATTATTATTGTTCAATTGAATTTGTGCAAGATATAAAAGAACGTCACTGGTTGTGTTGATATAATTGATATATCATACGTGCTGAAATTTTTTGTTGTTGTGCGAATATCTTTTCCAAATAAGGTAATACATGAGACATTTCACAGCAAAACCTGCCTCTAGAACACTCTAACCAAAAATGGTTTTTATGATAATAAACTATAACATAATTGGTGAAAACATTAAACCCTGTTTACATAATAAAAAAGGGAACTTGGTGACAGAATTCTTTACATCAGCCGCAGGACATTGCAGATCGTCATATATCAAAAATAAAAAATTCAGCCCATGTAACAAATAGTCTTTTTAAAACAGTTCATTATTTCATAATAAACATGAACCTCATTATTAACACAAAACGAAACTACATCATTAAAGCTTTTTAATAAATATATTTTTATATCAAAAGGGGTCCTCTAAGTAAAGCTACAACTATTCAAAATAGTATTACATTTTTACTTTAAACAAGATTATGTCTTAAAAAATTTTTGGTGAAAAATATTTTAAGCTTATATATGGGTATTACTTTATGTGTGTGTGTGTGTTATTGAAGTTTAGAGAAAATGGCAAAGACCTGAAAAATATAATAAAATTCAATTACAGTCAAAGCTCATTAAATTCATATGCAATAAATTTATAATTCTTTAAATTCATAATTTTTCAGGAACCAGTGCCACCAGTGTTGGAATTTTTATATGTCCAATTAATTTCCTATTGGATTTGTCTTGTCAAATTGTCCAATCTAGGGATGTTAATTGATTATACAAAATTATCAATTTAATTGAAAAAACTGAAAAAAAACTAAGTGTTAAATAAATTAACAGTAGTAATGATAATAACAATAATAATAGCAATAGTAATAATGATAATAGTAATATTTGAAGCAATTTTAATTTTAGAAGTCTGGTTTTAAAAATTAAATGCCATAACCTAATGAACAAATTCATATATAATACAAATTAATATACATATTTCATTCTAAACATTATAAGCATAATAATAGCAGCACTAACAACAACAACAACAATAGTAATAGCAATAAATAATAATAATAATAGTAGTAGTAGTATATTAATATTTGAAACAATTTTAATTTAGAAGTCTCAACTAGAGAAATAGCCAAATTAGACAGAGATGAATTTTAATTATATAAAAACATACCCCAAGTACTTCCTGTTGAAGAAAATGAACCATTAAATGGTGGTGTGATAATGAAAAAAAAACCCCAATACTTGCTATTTTAGCCAAAAAATATTTAGCAATTCCTTCTTCATCAGTTCCTTCGGAAGGACTTTTCTCTGATGCAAGACAACAAATTACTTTGTTACGAAGATAGACTTAGCTCACAGTCTGTTGACCATATTCTTTTTTTGAAACGGAACAAAAAATTTGTTGATAATTTTTTGCCCGTCAAAGAATAATTGTAAATAAAACGGAATTTATTAAAGTAACATCCAATCGTGTTTTGGACATGTGACATATATAGTTTCTTTCAGTTTATTAATACTGTAATATGTAAAAGTTGTTAACTCATAGGCATAAAACAAATAAAGCTACTGCTACTACTATTTGCAATGTAAAAATCGATTTCAAATCGATTTTTTCGATTTCGATTATCGATTACAAAAAATTAATCGATTAACATCTCTAGATCAATGCCTCTTTCACTTGGTCCAGTATATTTTTCTTTGTGATATCTGGAAAGATGAATATCCAGGAATGTTGGAATATGTCCTGAATAAAATATAATTGGATGTCTAGGAGCAATAGGTTTTTCAAGTTTCTTTTGGTGAGATCATAATCATTGTCACTGTGTCCCATGACTTCCATAATCCTTTCCATTCATCTAGTTAAAGCTCCTAAACGGGTCGGGTTCGATTCGCGCCGGGTTCAAATTTAAGAATTTCAACCCGAGATTTTTTCGGTTCGGGCTGTTGGTTAGGACCGAACCGAAAAACCCGAACCCGAACCGAAACCCGAAAACTTTTTGGACTTTACAAATTATACTTAAAGTCAAAATTATTGAATTGTAATCAAAGTTTGCATGCACCATCCATCATAATTTTACACAACTGATGTGAGATGCAATTCATGATATAAAGATTTAATTCATAGCACAAGCATGTTTTATGACAATTTATTTGCTAGCAAAACTTTTTTGGTCATTGATGTTACATTAAA